TATTCATTAATACAAGCCTGCCGTGATTGACTCAGTGCTGAGCCAATCAGTGCTGAGCCAATTCATTAATACAAAGCCTGTATGAATGAATAGAAAGCCTGCCGTAATTGGCTCAGCGCTGAGCCAATCACGGCAGGCTTTCTATCCATTAATACAAGCCTGCCGTGATTGCGCCGCGACCCGTGATGCTGCCGTGATTGCGACCCGTGATTGCCGTGATGGCGCCGCGACCCACTGCAGAAGGGCTCTCGACCCACTTTTGGGTCGCGACCCATGAGTTGAGAACCACTGGTCTAGAGCAGCAGTGGCGAACCTTGGCACTCCAGCTGTGCCAAAACTACAAATCCCAACATGCATCTGCCTCTGGGAGTTATGTCTGTTGCTGTCAGAGCCTTGCAATGCCTCATGGGACTTGTAGTTCCAAAACAGCTGGAATGCCGAGGTTCGCCACCACTGGTCTAGAGGTTTTGCATTAGGCCTTGTTCACACCAAGTGCGTTCCAGGAGCAGAGCAGTTACAGACCGGATCAAAACTGCGTCCAATGTATTCCAATGGTATTTTGGGCTCTAGTTCACACTGCAGCGTTCAGTTCCAGAGCATGTAAAAAAAACTGCAGCAAGCCCTATTTTACCTGCTCTGGAACGCATGCAAACGCCCTGGAACGCATCAAAAACGCGGCACAACCCACTGCACTGCGTGTGCAGAAACTCATGCAGATCTGGTCTGCATTTGGTGTGAACAAGCCCTTAAAGTGTACCTGTGATTTAACGCTTTACTCTTAAATGCCGAATAGGATTTGTTACAAGGTATTACACGTATGTATGGTATGGTCCCCTGTATGGTTGTGCTAACTATTCAGAAGCAATGAGAAGTCTGGAAAGCCACTTTGCTGTCAAGGAAATTTCCCATGGCACAACCAGAACTGTAGCCCAGCGGGGCCGACTAGCAAGATACTGAAGCTTGGCCCAGTGGGAGATTCCTCCATCCACACAGTGTAGCGTAGATGGAGGAATCTGTTGCACTTTTTCCATCTGACCATAGAAAATCTGCAGATAATCTATAGGTGTATGGCCAGCTTTAGAAGATCAGCAATTACAGCCTCCACATTTTTATTTTGTCAGATTACTTTTAAATACAAAATCTAATTGGCTTGCTGGAGCAATACAGTTTTATAAACCCAAAAACCTTCCACCGCTCTTTTCCTTAAAACATGTCCTAGTTGGCAGTATATGCAACTTTAGAGGATGATTAATTACTTGTTTCAATTTGTTTTGAAGTTTCTTTTTGAAGTTTTTTTTTAAGAAAAAAAAAAATGTTTGTAGTTTTTCAGGTGAATCACCCAGCAAGAGCTGCCTATCAGGTTGTTGCTTTGCCACGGGTAAGCTACATTACAATTTTGGAAATACATTTTCAATTAGTAGCCATTTTGCGTTTGCCTTTAAAGTAAGCAGTCTGTAGATTTATGATGTACTCGTGACACAACCCTGACACATCCAATCAGCATAGTCAGAAGACATCTTCCCGATGCAGTTGAATGGAAGTCAACGACAGTCAGAAAGTGAGGGAAAATCTAGAAGTAGAAGGGAAATCTTTTACTGGAGATGGTCCTCAGGTGAGGTTTTCCCTCTCTTTGGAGAAAGTTGCTCTTACTACTTGCTGTGTTTACGAAACCGGAAGGCCAGGGGGGAAATCTCTCCCATTGGACACATGGACTACAATAAAAGTTTGATGGAGGTTCTAACCCTTCCCCACTCAAAAACTAGAATAAAGGTTTTTGGCTTGCATCCCACTGTAATTCATCATCAGCAGTGTTAACATGGACCATAGCTGCATTTTTAAATGGTACCAACAATGACTGCACGATCTGTAGGGGACAACGAGAGTGGGCTGTTTGCATTTCCCAGCCCTACTTAGACATGAACACCAAACAGACATGGGAGTGTCCTACTGGCTTATGTTCACTTTATTTCCAAAGTTTTCCCATGCACGCAGGTAACGAACCTCATAAGCAGCTTCAATGTTATACATCATCGAAGAGGACCCTGACTCCTCCTAGTCTAGCCCTAACTCTATTCAGTTTGAGCTCAGTTAATAATCAGTGCAGCAACTGCCATATCCCATTGTGACCACTCAGATTTCAGTTCAGAAAAGGGTCAGCTTAGGAAAGTGGTGAGGTACAATATGCCCGGTTATTTAAAGCAGAACTGAACCGAACATAAAGAAAAAAAATTGCTGTTGGATAGATATTTGGCAGATGAAGTTTAGAATGACCAGTCTGCCAAAAAAACACCTCAACCTTACTCCAAGCAATGTTTATATATGTACACTGCAGCACAGTCACCATGCTGTGTACACTTCTGGCATCCACGTGGAACCAAGTCCTGGGATGATGTAACTCCAGCTCCCTTGTGCAAGAGTTACATCATCAGTGGCCACCTAGTGACATGCAGAGAGAAGACAAGAGCAAAGAGGAGAGTGCGGGCCTTTCATCAATGGAGAGAGGCGCACTAGGGGTTAAGTCTGCCATAATAATGAAGTATGTGTGCATTCTTGCACCTTATGGCAAGAACTCCAAGAAACGCTGCAGATTGTTTTGGCTTTAGTTAGTCCATTTACACTTTGCAAAGTAAGAGCTAAGAGCTTGCAGGCACGTCTTAGGCCTTGTTCACACCAAGTGCGTTCCAGGAGCAGAGCAGTTACAGACCGGATCAAAACTGCGTCCAATGTATTACAATGGTATTTTGGACTCTGGTTCACACCGCAGCGTTCCGTTCCAGAGCATGTAAGAAACTGCAGCAAGCCCTATTTCACCTGCTCTGGAACGCATGCAAACGCCCTGGAACACACTAAAAGCCCATTTAAAACTTTTTTTTTTAACCAAAAACGGCCCGAAACGCGGCACAACCCACTGCACTGCGTGTGCAGAAACTCATGCAGATCTGGTCTGCATTTGGTGTGAACAAGCCCTTACACTTCTCATTTCACTGCCACTTTTTTTTTTTTCCATTACTGATTTTAGGTTGTTTTTTTTTTTTTCCTCTACTCTTCCTTCGTCTAAAACATGTATAACTATACTGATACCGAGTACTTGGGCGAGTACCCGTACTCGCCCAAGTGCTCCCGATGCTTATTCCGATACCGTAACTTCCGATATCAGGAAGCCGGTTGGCGAGTCATTAAATGCCGCCCCGCTTCCTGATTGGCCAGGAAGCCAGGCCCAGCATGGAGCCAGCTTCCCGGCTAATCAGGAAGCAGAGTGGCGAGTCATTACACGCCATCCGGCTTCCTTAATGGGACTTTCAGTATTGGCGAGTAGAGAAAAAAAAAAAATATCTGTACTCGCACTTGATACTGAAAAACTGGTATTGGTTCATCCCTATTAAATATAACAAATGAAATATATAAATAAAGACAAATATATATATTTATATATTTTGATGTTGCCCTTTCCTGTCATCCTGTAACATCTATCTTTGCCTTCGGTCAGGGAGGGAGAGTGGAAATCGAAGCTGTGGCCGTCCTTGGACCTATAACGGAAGTTTCCTCAGCCCTTTGAGGATGAATGGTGCACAAATTCCTGCCTGCATTCAGTAGAGCACTCTTAGGGTGCCATTTTAAATTGGAGCTGTTGTTCATATCAACCAATCCTACTTAATCTTTAGAGTGAATCCATATTGCACATACAAATTAACACCAAAGGCCACTGTTGAAAATAAGGTGCCACACTGTAATTTCCTGTACAGTGCCACTGCCGATACCTTAAAAGCATCATTATCAGCAGTTTGGTATGCACAAACTGAGTATGTATGTTCAGCTTTTTGTGACCGTACTGCACAGATTATCACTGACATACAAATGTTTCACACTGGGAACAAAAATTGACAATGGTAAGTTTTGTTCCATGTAAAATGGTCTCACTGCTATTTACAGTAACACTGGCCTTAAACATTCATATTTCCTTTAATTCACATTTAAATAAACTGTAGATACTCCATTTGTTCAATTGTACATAATTTTCCTGACTCTGCCACCCACATTATATAGTGGAGGTGAAGGCCTGTACCAGCTGGCGTCCTTTGATGACTAGACTTGAGCACTAGCAGATAATCTGCACAAGTGTCATTCCACAATGGTGTCTTTAAGTCATAGTGAGTTGATGGACTGCAAGCCTGTTCAGTCCACAGATTGGACCATAGCTGATATGTATCTCTAGGATGTTTAAAGGACACTTTGTATACTACTGTTGACATCTCAAAAAAATGACAGCGTTCAGGAATAAAAATGTAAAAACCTCAATGTAATGTATTTTTGTTTTTGATTCTTTAATTTTTTACTTTCTACTACCAATGCTGAATCTTCCACTAATAGATCTTATTTCAAGTGTATAAGTGTTGGGCAACAAATTAAAAGTCCAACTTTCATACCTACCAACCTTTCTTACCTCCCACTTTTCTTCTATAGAAGTTGTGCCGGGTGTCTAAATATGATGTAGTCCATTATTGGTGTAGTCCAATAGATGCCAAAGTTGGTCCCACTGCTCTCAGTAGCAGAGCTATCAAGGAACACCACCTACATGTCTCTGCAATACAAGTCTGTGTCATGGGGAGTGTGGCTCTTATTCAGCCATACCAACATAGAGCACTGGAGTGGGAGCACACAAAGCAGAATGTTTTGAGAAAGAATATGTACTGTATTTCTATGCAAATATCCCTCACAAACATAACACGCAGGGGTGCAGGACTACAGAGACTTCAGTTGGCCTTTAAAGGAGCCCCCCCACAAGCCATCACCTGACACATTGTGCTTTTGCTGGCTCCCAATCCCAGCTCTCCATAACTGTTTCAGTCCCAGCTGAGAATCGGGGACGAATCATAGTGGTTCTTAGTCATGTGATTGATAGGACATAGTGATGACATGCAGGCTTCATTAACAAAATAAGCCTTCAGCTTGTAAATGCCATTGCAGCCTGAAGAAGGCAGTGTCCATCTCTTTTTAACTACTAAAGTCCTGTCCTGAAGCAGTTATACCAAGAACACGACTGCTGCATATCGGTTTAAACAGCCGGCGATGGCTGTTTAGATACTAGCGATCTGGCGGCTAGCGATCAGATCGCCTGTACGGTGCGGCGCAATATGTGCCCCTCGCCGACTACTCCGGGCTCCACTCGCCAATCGGAGGGAGATCAGCAAGTTTCTAGTATTACATCACTTCCACTGTCATTGATATATTCTCTGGCTCCTGCAGCCAAGAGAAGAAGCTGGTGAAGCATATATCTGCTTCATCAGCTTCTTTATGGTCCCTAGATGACATTATAAAAAAATTCAAGCCCCATATAGAAAACAAAAAAAGTTTAATGTCCCCACGTGCACGCACATACAAGTGCAAACACGTGTCGGGTGCACCTATGTGCAAAAACGAAAATTGGCCATGCGTTACATATCGCCACAAACAGAGTGAGAGCAATAATTCTAGGGCCATCAATCACTGTTAACACTAACTTGATGAGCAGTAAAAGCTTTTAAAGCGTCGCCTATGGGAAACTTTGGGTATTGTAGTTTTTGGCGGATTCACGGGTGAACGCAATTTTAAGGCTTGACATGTTTGGTATCTTTTACCTTACGTGACCCCGTCTTTTATATTTTACGAAAAAATTGGGTATTCTGTTTATGTGCACTAAATTTCATTTTAGTTCATTTAAAGTTGCGCAAATCCTGTGCAACATAAAAAAAATTGCAACTAGCATTTTTTTTTTATTCTACAGGGCCTCTGCTTTCAGAAAATATATATGTGTATGTATGTGTATTTTAAGCTGATTTTCTAGCCAAAAAAAATCTTTTTTTTTTTGATCATGTGTGTGTGCAAACATTTGGAAGATTCTCCAGACAGCAAGTGGTAAAATCAAACTGTAATTGCCTGATACAATTACAACTTTACAACTTTTTTTTGCACATTTATCTGTGTATAAATAAAGAAAGAGAGTTTTTATTCCAAAGAAGTATACCCAAATAAAAGGCTTATATGTTCTTAATATTTAGATATGTATAATACTTAATTGAAGTATGCTGATGCTGCTAAATTTGGCCTGGGCATCAAGGTATTGGGGCTTGTTCACACGATTTTCCAGTCCTGATCTGGTGCGGATCTGCAGACGCGGTGCCCTGCATGCAGTGCGTTTTTACCGCGGTCCGGACGATGACAGTTTTTTTTATTTTAAAGCCGTGGGGCTGTCAGTATGCAGATTTTTTCCTCTGAGGTCATTTCCGCCCTCTCGTAACAACCACTTCCCTTTTGTGTATGTAAAGCTGGGGATCAGACCTCTATCACATGTTTGCCGGCATGATGTTGGTGCTGGCTACAGCAATCTGCAGAGAACGAGCTCACAGGAGACGTCGTTATTGGGTACACCGATCTTAAGGCTCAGGGACTCCCAAGGGTCAGTTTTGGAGTTTATATGAGGATTTGCAAGCTCACTTTTTTTTTTTTTTCCTGCTTGGCTGCAGTGCGGTCCGTTTTTGTTGCATTTTTTTACGCGTTCATGTGTTTACAGACCGTTTCAAATGTGACATGCGGTATTTTTTCTGTCGTGACCTGAACGGACTGCGCATGTGAGAACTGTAGCCCATAAAACACATAGGGATACATTGGAATGCATTTTTAGTGCAGGAGTGCACGGATCTGGTCATGGCAGAATCCTGACATCGTGTGAACAAGCCCTTGAAGGAGAACTATGGGGTGAGTGCTTTTCACTTACCTCATAGCTCTAGCCGACCTGTGACAATGAGACCGTCATGGGTCGGCTTAGTAGATCGGGAGGTGAGCGAACACATGCCGGCATTCGCTCACCTCTCGATCCTGTCACAGCTCTCTGACGTGACAGGGGAGTGGCTGGATTCCCCGCTCCCCGCTCCGATCCGCCAGCGCTGACTGGCGGAACAGACGGGAGGGGGCAGGTACAGCTGGCTCTGCCTCTAGATAGGCAGAGCCAGCTGTCAGTCACGCAGCTGGGCGGATCCAGACATAATTGTTGGGATCCGTTTCAGCTGCGGCGTCTCCGTATACCGCGAGCTGCAGCTTGCGGTATACTGAGCCTAGGGTGACGGGAGGACGCTAGTTTGTGTCCTCCCATTACCCTAAGGAGAACTATGGGGAAAAGCCCTAACGCCACAGTTCTCCTTTTAATGACCTCAGTAAATCTGCACTGTGAAATATATAGGCTGCCATTGCTGTGGTGCCTGGATAACAAAATAGGCTGATAAAATCTACAAATATTTAGGCAGGTAAAACATTTCCCATAACCAAGGCTTGAAAAAGCTGCTCGTCCTATCGTCTGTGATGAGAGGACGCCGGAGCCGGACAAGTAGCTTCCCGGCCGGCGGTTGTAATTAAGTGTAAAAAGTAATAAAACAATTGAAGCATTAAAAAAAAAAAAACACTTTTTTTAAGTCCCGCTCCCCCCACATACCTATGCAAACATGCGTCGGGTGCGCCTACATGCGAAAAATACAATTGCACGTATTGTGCCGCACATATGCGAGCAATAGTTATAGGGCTATTAATCACTAATAACACTAAACTGATGAGCAATAAAAGCGTTTAAAGCGTTGCCTATGGCCAATTTTCGATGTGGTCATTTTTGCGGGTGCATGCAATTATAAGGCTTGTGTTTGGTGTCTATTTACCCGATGTGACCCCGTCTTTTATATTTTACCAAAACGTAGGTAAGAATAAATTTTTTTTAACATAACACAGGGGGGGGGGGGGGATTCTCAAATTTACAGTACTTTTTTCATTATATAGTAAAAAAAATAACCCCCCCCCATGGTGATTATATACCATCTGTCCCAAACATTGTTTAACATAAATAGCAAGTCATGCTGACAGGTGACATTTTTGACTGACTGGTGAGACCCTAAAATTTTTCAAGCCCTGCCCATAACTCTGTATATAGTGATTTGCCTGAAATTCAGTTTTGAGCAAATCGAGCTATAAAAAAAAAGAATTGACATCCTGGGATCCACTTTATTGGTCTTCAAGTTGTCCACTTTGTCCATCAGTAAGCAATAACAATCACTACCAAAGGAACCGGTACTGATTTATGGCTGGTTAGTGAAAGATAACATTATGATCTTCGAGCTGCCTAATGGTCTGAGCCACCAGCAAAGATGCTGCCTGTATCCCCACATTCAGAAAAAATGTAAACACCGAAATGTTATCCTTTAATGTTCATGATAGGATTGGATAAATTTACAGGCAGATTAGAAAAATCATTCAAAACCATGAATGTAAGAATTTTTGGATAAAAATACCAGGCAGCCCTTGCCTAGCGCCTCAGTTTATACTACTAGAAAACGACAGACGATATAGCATTTTACAGGTATTGGGTTGTGATTGTTACTGCTGAAGACCATAAGGAGGCGACATTTCATCTTGTCTTGGAGGAAGAACTCTTCCTCTCTTAGGCCTTGTTCACACCAAGTGCGTTCCAGGAGCAGAGCAGTTACAGACCGGATCAAAACTGCGTCCAATGTATTCCAATGTTATTTCGGGCTCTAGTTCACACCGCAGCGTTCAGTTCCAGAGCATGTAAAAAAACCGCAGCAAGCCCTATTTTACCTGCTCT